CGGTGACTTCAACAGTCAGTGTAGCTTCTTCAAATTTAACACAGTGCAAACCAAAGTATACGTAGAAAATTTTACCGAGCGTGACAACCCGAAATGCACCTACCAGTACCATGAACAGTTGTACCTTCAGAAGATGCACAGAAACAGATGCCAGCAACGAGAAAATTTTCCGGGTATTTTGAGCGACAAACGAAAACGAAAAGAAGGGGACGCTCTGCAATCTGCTTCAGTATCTTTTCCATTTCTTTACGTTCACCTGTTTCTTCATTTTTTTTCTCTTGAAGTTTTGAAATGGTAGTAATACTTGAAACAAAAACGGCAGAGAGCGACTGTTTTGAAGATTGAGATTGTAGTAAACTAAACTTCAATTTTAGAAACATTTCAAATGATTTCCTAACTAACCATCTGAAGAGTGCAGCCAAACGTTTCGAGAATGAATAGCCAAACGGTTGTCTGTCCAAGACAAAATGAAGCAGATTCTATCGACACGAAATAAAAACAAGAAAATCACAGACTTTGGACGGCAGAGTTTCCGTGCTGATAAGAAACTGTCACAAATAATTTTTTCCTTCCAAATTTGCTTTTTTTTCTTTCAAAACCATTAAAACAGAACATTTTGAATCACAACTTATCATCAAAACAAGATTTCATCAATAGTTTGTTTCCTCTCTTGGAATGACAGTTCCTGGGTATCTGTAGTGGAAACTCTACCTTCCCAATACCATGAGCCAAGCTCTGCACCCGTGTGTTAGATCACCTCCACCCAAAACCAGGGGGCCTACGTCCCTCATACAACTGTTTCCAACAGTGGATGAAGGATCTGTTCTCAGTAAGTTTCCATTGCCTTGCTTGTTACTGCTGCTTTGTCTTTTGCAAGAGCGATTTCCTTGGTTGAGACTACACCAATTCAGTTTGTTGGTTCTCGGACGTGCTGAATTGCAAGATCAACATGATAACAGAGTGTAAAAGGAGAAGTATGTTCCTTGGTACACATACAAATGTAGTTTCAGTGAGTGAAAATTGTTAGATGCAAGTTCTCTGTTCTCATCTTGACCTGTTAGTAATTTTTCTTCTTGAAATGTCCGTGAACCAAAGAAATGAATTGGTGAAGCCCTAATGTTCGTGCGTTTGTCAGAGATTTTGCGTTAGTCCCTCATAAGTATGAATGGAAAGAGAAACACCCTTTCGGGTCCCACAGATGTGTTTATGCACATCACACCGGCTACGAAGTAGGTTTTCCAATGATGTGTGTGCATGGGTGTGTGTTAAAACCCATGCCAGGGAATGACCTTTATCGCATTGAGGTTGGTTTGCAAATGCCTACTGCAGTCTGATGTACTGTGGTCATAAAAGCACTGGTGTTTCAGGTGGAATACATGAACAGCACATTTGTTTGTTCTTTGAAAATATCTAAATATAACTAATATCATGGAAAAACAATTTTTGAGCTGCCTAGAGCCCTGCTCTAGGCAGCTCAAAGACATATATGTCTTTTGAGTCATACATTTTACTTCGTGAATCATATACAATTTGCAATGTCATAGCTGGGAGGTCAAATTCAATCAGGTGGCCCGATGGTCGCTTAACAGTCGCCTGATGATCCAGTGAAAGGGCACGTTACTAAGTTACTTAGGGGGCCCTGAATGCCTTTTATGTTATAATGTAATCAGGGGTTAAAATTCTGCATAATTGGTAGGCAGTCGCTGTAATGTCCTTGCAGTTGTTCAAAGTAATGGGTACGATCTGTACATTTGCTGTTGAATTTTATAGCGTAGAATTTGGCATGATACGCAGCTGGACCTTTCAAATTTAGCGTAGAGCGTTGTTGGGATCCCCACATGAGGGCCCCACTTAATTTCACAGTAGGGTACCAAGGAAAGTGCGGATTTACTTGATCTAGGCATTTATCTTCTGTAGATTCTATCAGTTCCCTGTAGCAGTGTAATTTACGATCATTAGCACAGTTACTAACTTAGAACACACAGACAAATGGCCCATTGGTACCTGCCCTAACCGTTAGGCCACACTGATTGGCAGTTAACCTGTTAATGTACACATAATTTACACCCAGAATCTATCTTCTGAGCAGTTCTGTAAGAATCATGAGACTGTGAGTGTGAGTCATGGCGTTAATGTTTCTGCTGGATTAGGGGCGCCCGGAAAAATTGCATTTTCCATCCATTTTATTATTTTTTACAGAAAGAGAACATGTAAAATTCTATAGATGACACTTACATTGTAAATACTTCTTACATAAGTTAAAGTTTTCATGAATTGAGTTTAATTTTTTTGATCATGACAAAAATTTCATCTATCGTTAGTAGTTTCTAATTAGTCTTGTCATCCCTTGAGCTTCCGAACTTGACAGTGACATTACTGTAGAGAAGAGAAAATGCAGACATCCCAGAGCACTAAGCTGGCTACATGTCAAACTCCGCTAGAGACCATTACGGTTTTAGTACAGGGTTCTGGAACCGATCCAGAAGGCTGGGGATGTCAGGACGTAATGGCTTTGCAATTTTTTGGTTCATCAGAAAATAGTTCATCTAAAATTGTTAGACCTCCCGAACCTGAAAGTGACATTACCGGATAGCAGAGAAAAAGCAGACATCCCCGAGCGCCAAGCCATCAGCATTTCAAACTCCGCTAGAGACCATTATGGTTTTAGTTGGGTTCTGGATTCGCTCCAGCAGTTTGGGATGTTTGCTGTGGCCTCCCATCCGTCTGTGCCATTGCCATGAGAAATTGCAGTTGAATGATCCTAAGTGCTAATACATCCCTGTCTGATAAATTACTCTGCATCATCTGTTTTGTCTTACAGATATCGGCCCATCTGCCCAATATCATTATGGTAGAGATCTCTTAAGGCTGAGAGTTCATTTAGGACTACGATAATTAGGAGATGGTGTTAATTTCACCAAAAAAAACAACAGTTACTCAAGCAACTGGATGTGATTTTGGAAACGGTCAGACGTTTCAGGTAGCATCCAGTACCTTAATTTTGTCAGTGACACTGGAAAAGCAATAAATACGTACAAACTATTGATTGATATGCAAATAAGTGAAGACAATTTTTTTTTAAGTCAAAACAAGGATGATGCAAATTAGTCAAGTAGCTCTTGTTTTTTGGCGTATCTTAATTCTTATTACCTGGATGTCTAAACTTCACCAACGAAGGTGTTGATTTTTATGTTTGGCAGGAAGCTGTATCCTTCAGGAAATGATAATAGTTCAAGTTGTGCAGAAAATTCTTCTGTGTCATCAGAAGTTTGTGGAAAATGTGAAATAAATCGTATTCGTGTCTCGTTGACTTCCTGTGGTGGATCAGTAAATAGCATTACATGAGACAGACTGTGCACGCATTTCCGGGCAAACAGGATTATCATACCGTGAATTCATTAATCTTATTTTTGCTGGCATCTTTGCCAATACATTGTGTCCTTGGGGAAGACACTTTGCACGACTTTCCTCACTCCACCCAGGTGTAAAATGGGTACCTGACTTTGAGGAGATAAAAGGCAATGGAAGGAGAGGGATAAGCTTCACCTCCCAATACCGTGGATTAGCAACCCACTGCCCCTATGACCTGAAAAAGGCTACGAGGCTACCTTTTTACTGTTAGGGTGAAAATTGTGCCCCACATTTAATGACAGGGTCCCTCGGGAAATCAAGCAAAGGGAGATGAGCTTTATTATATAGACATTCTTCCGTCCCATCCATATACATGTATATATTATAACCCTTCAACATCTGCCCGGGCTCCACTGATTACAGGCAAATTGGTTCTGCATAAATTTTACTGTGATTTCTGTTCTGTATGTCCTTGGAAAGGGAGTGAATTCGGCCCAGTACTGTAATGGTAAGGAGAGGTAAAGCATCTGTGCTTAATTCAAATGCGGTGCTTTTATGTGTTAGCTAGAACTTGTAGAAGTACAATATGTGGCCTTTGAACAACACCTCACATTTTCAGTCTGGTACACTCGAGGCGTGTTGGGTTCTTCAATGTCCTGGTATTTGATAGCATTTTATAGATAGAGATATGCAACATACAAAGATCAGAGATGGAATCTAACATTGAAGTCTGTGTGTGTTGGCTACAATATACAAAGTATCAAATTTAAGACTGAATCTAACAGTGAAGTTGTATCAAAGATGGAATCTAATAGTGAAGTTTGTATGTGTGTTTGCTATGAATCTACAAATATCAAAGATGGAATACACATATAATGGTGAACTTTATATGTGTTCACTACAGATCTACAATGTACCACTAACCAGTACCAGAGATAGTCTAACAGTGAAGTTTGTATTTATGTGTTTCCTACAGATCAGATCAACAACTTCAAACAACCAGAGATGGAGTCAAATGGAGAGCTGAAGATGAAGGAGGCCAGCATCCCCCTGTCGGTCCAGGACCCCGAGGAGGAGGAGGAGTTTCGAGATGATCTGGCGAAGAATCGTGGCCAGTGGGGGGCCAAGCTGGACTTCATGCTGTCCATGCTGGGCTACTGTGTGGGGCTCGGCAACGTGTGGCGGTTTCCCTACCTCTGCTACAGGAACGGTGGAGGTAAGGATACAGTGTTGCAATTCTGTAACTTCTGTAACAGTTAGTTAGGGTAATACATGTACATGTAGGAAAAAATGTGGGGAGCATTTACTGTCCATGCTGGGCTACTGTGTGGGGCTCGGCAACATGTGGCGGTTTCCATATCTCTGCTACAGGAACGGCGGAGCCTTGTCCGGGTCAGTCTACTGAGGAAGACCAGAGTGACTGGTTGAAAGCTCTAGGTGAGAGAATTTTCGTGTTGGATCAAAAGTTTTAACTTTAAACATGTAACTACCAACACAGATGAACTTTCATGATAATATACATATATTGTTTTGAAAAGTGTATATATATTCTTATTAAACATGTATGTTTTACAATTGTATGTATTTTAAATATATATATCGTATTTTTGACAGTGTTCCTGCTTTGTATGGGAGAATGGGAACGCCCTGCATCTAAGCCACCATGGAGTTTCTTCTCTCCTGCTCAACAGGACAAGCTGGGGAGAAAAGAAGCTGACCTGAACGGTAACTATTATCAACTACCGCCACTACAGGTTTTTCTAAACAGGGGAGTAAGGGCTCTGCTCCCTCATGTAACCAGCTAGCTATGTTTGTACCTCATATCAATTTTCAAATTGAACCCTAAGTGGCTACTTACACCACTTAGTCTTTCTCAAAATGGTCAACTTCATTTTATGGATGACATCCGCGTGCGCATTGATTTTTGTCTGTTCTAAAAAAAAAGAAAAGTCCTCCAAGGCTCTGGCCTGGCTCTAGGCTTGCGTAGTCCATGGTAGTTAGCGACAATATGGAGGTTGTAACTCTGGAGGGTGGTACAGAGGCTACCGAAGCTCCACTACTCTAGTACAGTACTGTTTCATAAATTCCACAAAAAGCCAGCATGTGCTGTATTGTCGTATAGGTCTCTATGTACTGCCGCAAATTCACAATACCAGCTTTAATTTTATATTCCTGTGGTTTAGTAGCATTTTATTTTGGGCCAGAATTTTTTTTATTCGCCCGCGCGCACTAGTTTGAGGGTCTTCACAGGATGTCATCCATAAAATTAAGTTGGTGTGGCCTAAGAATCGTAAGATGTAAAAATAATAGAACAATGCAATCTAGCATTTGAAACTGTGTTACTCTCATTAACCCCCCCCCCCCCCCTTCGATCGCTTTAATCCTCGCCTTGAGCTTGCAATCTGCTCGGTCTCATGCTATCAGTTTTTCTAGAAAAAAAAGAGACACATTTGACGGTAAAAGACGCAAACAATGGTTATTCTTTTCTATCCCGTCATATCGTCCAGAATATTTGAGTCCGTCTTTACACATAGTCTTGAACTCTTGCAGGCCAGAGAGCTCACCACCTGCAGTTCCAGAGGAGTCTGGATGTGGAGATGCGAAGCGAGGTGGTGTCAGGTTTGTTTGTTTTTTTATTTACCAGGGATACATATCACCTGAGCGAGGGCATTTTTCAATGTACATGTACCCTGGGGGAAAACCCCATACAAAAGATATAAAAATCAACTCGGTTCAAATCACAACAAAAGTAAGAAATAAAGTTACCCAAATTACTAACTAATATTGATACAAAACCAAAGTAAATAAAATAACATACATGATACATAAAATCATACTACCAAGATAAGGCCACACCAATTGAATTTGTTGGTTCTCGGATTTGCTTCTTCGTTTTTTTTTTTCTGATTTTCAAAAAAAAAAAAAGATTCTGGTTCTGAATCAACCAAAATATCAACCCAGCCTTTTGTGTTGACTTCATGGCTTCTATCATTTGGGGCATTAATAGGATGCCTTACACCTGGTTTTTTTTTTTTCACCTTGTCACTTCATATTTTTTCTGAAAAATCCAAGAATCAACAAATTCAATTGGTGTGGCCTAAGTGAAACTATACTCAGTGTAACCTTTACATCATATAACATAGAACCAAGGTAGGACATAATAGAATGAAAGGATTGAAATCAGGAATAGTACTCTGAGTGAGCAAAAACGCTTACACTCCTATGTCACCTGGCCAGCCAACGTCAGGTTTTTACAGAACATCCAGGAGGCAATGGCCCAGGCAATGAAGGAGCACCGGTACAACCAACTTTTCTCCTCCGGCCTGTCCATCGTGAAACCGATCGAGGACCTCCTTCCTCCTTACGCTCTGCCGTCCGTACTCTCCACGCCTCCAGCCAGCCAGGCTTCAGGGCTGTACCAGCCAGGACTGCAGTTCCTTCCCTGCGGACACCACAACGTGTCTGTTTGCATGTACGGTTCTTACTGTACTTTGCCTCACGGGCTGAGCACCAAGTGTGCGAATGGCACAGTGGCCGGAATTAGCTCATAACAACATCAGAGCTATTCCATGTAAAAGGTTGAAGAGACAGTGGTTAGTTTTTAAGTCCTGAGCACTCAGAGCCAAGTCCTGTGCTTATGATGATGAGGATGGTATTGAGTATAATCATGGTCTATTCAAGGACGTTCAATCATCTGATAGAACATCCTTGGTCTATTACAAGGTGTTTCTCTTTTTATTTTATTTCACCTTTCCACCCAATCAATCATGGACTCCATTTTCCGTTGAAAATCTGCAGACCAAGAAATTGCACTAGTGTGTCCTTACAGATGATTCCATTGTTAACATCAAGGTGTTAAAAAAACAGACAGATTGAGGGAATATTCCTGACCACTGTCTCCTACACTTTTAATGGAATAGTCCTGATTACTTTGCCCCACCCCATTCTGCTATACATAAATAATGCCCATGCCTGTAGCCAGGATTTTGAATGGGGGGGTTCTTCCCACTGCTTGAGGGGACCTCGAGCGCCGAAGGCGCGAGGTTCCTATGGGGGTCCGGGTTTTGAAAAATGAACCTTCTAAAATGGCATTTCGTGCATTTTGGATTTCCAAGAAAAAATCAGAGATAAATTTTTATTCAATGACAAAGGGAGCAGTTTTTCTACGATTCCAGTCCATCTTTTCAAGAAAAATGTTGGACCTTTACATAAAAAGTGGACCAAAAAGTGGACCTTTACNTAAAAAGTGGCCAAAAAGTGGACCTTTGAGCCTTNTGGGGGGTTCTTCGAACCCCCCGAACTCCTCCTGGCTACGGGCATGATGCCAGCTCATCATTGTTTTACGTCGGAAAAAGTATTATGGTATTAACAATGCTCTGGATTGTTGGAAAATGTTTTTTTTTTTTGATGCATTAATACCATATCCATCAATACACATACATTCCTTGGCAAACTGACCTATCATCGTATTACTGTATTGGTTATCAGCCTTAGCCTGGGTACTTAGGTTACGTTCGCTCCCAGGTTGGTGGTAATAACTGTTGAAGCAGACATAAACTAGCCAGAATGGTACCCAGGCTACCGAATTGGCAAATCATGGCAAAACAATTTCCTTACATCATTCAACAACCACAGTTTAATTCACATTAAAAGAAGCAGCCATGAAAGAAATTGAATTACATAACTTGAAAAATCATTGTGACATTGGTATTTCAGAGACATACTGTGCATTGCATTGCCTCTCACATATACAATAAGTTCTGTGTTCTGTCACTGTTTTTTCTTGGTAATAGAGAGCAATAAATATTAACTTATAAGTCCTATTCCGGCTTGAATGAATTACTCTTCCTCTTTATAATTACATTATGTGACGAGTTTGAATTATCCTATATTGTAATGCAGCAGATTTATAGAATGTCGCCATTTATAATTACATAAATTAGATCTTGATGTACATAATTATCATCCAAAAATCACAAGACCCTACCATGTCCAGATCATGAGATATCAAAACTGCATAAAAGTTACACTGCAGTGATATGACAAGCTGATAGGGTGGCAAAGTCATTTCAAGCTCTCATTAAGACCTACTCACCTACCAAATATCAACAGATATCTGTCTAAGCCTTATCGAGTTATGCTTTTGACACACAGATGCATACATTAAAACAGTGTTAAACCTTTTTGGCAAAGGTAATGATAATATAATAGTGATAGCTATATTTACATACATGTATAGATACTAGTACAGATACAGAAGTGTTGAGAACTTTTTTTCTTAACAATCCATATTGAAAAAAAAAACTTATTCACTAAAGACTACAGGTCAAGTTTTTTTTTTTTTCTTTTAAGAAATATGACGTCATGTTCGGAATCCCGAGCTGGCATTCGGCAATCCTCGGGCTGCCCTGGTCACGAGGTTCCGCACCCTGGGTACGAGCGTGACCTCGCCTGACCCCTCCGGCTCGACCAATCAGCGCGCGCGGCGTTATTTTCAACCGCGAGCTAGGAAAAGACGTGGCAGGAGTTTTGAGACGTCTTGAACTGCGAAATTGGACCGGGAAAGCGTCTTAGTACGGTGCAGGTAAGGATCTAACACTTCAGTTATCAAAAGAACTTAATTATTTGTAGCAAAAAGTGATTGAATGCCTGTTTTGAGGGACGTTTTTCGAAATACGACGTTATTTTTGCATGATACAGAAGTGGGAGGGGGGCGTTGGAAAAAAATATATATTTCAGGACTTGGAAGTTTAAAAAGTATCCTCAAGCCCTCTGAGGCAGTTCTACATAGAACTTGTTGTAAAACCTGAGATTATATAGGCTAGTACCATTATACTCCAGTATTATTAACTTGAACTTTTAGAATTATCGATAAATTTTGTGCTGTTTGCCCTTTGAAGTAAACCTCCTCGAATCAAGGATTTAACTGGAAAAACTCTAAACTAAAGCTTTAAAATGTGAGTCAAAGTCCAGCAACTTAAAAAGAAAAATTATCGATAATTTTTATTTTTATTAGTAATTGTTTGCTCTTGAACCTCCTTGGATCAATTTATTATTTGACGGCAAACACTTTAAAGCTTTGATCTGTATGAGAAACAGTGCTCACAAAGCAACACAAAAAATTAAAACAATGTAAAAATGGCTTGTGTTGCTTTTAGGCCTCGTTTGAAGTTTCTGTATTTGCATAACCTTGGCTAACAATGCCTGGCATCCTCATTCATTGTCAATTAGATTATGCAAATGTAGCCCTGCTTGTTATGCATACCTATCAAAACAATCAGCTTGTTTGTTTATCAAGTAACCTAGCCGTGGACAACTCGAGTGATCCTTTTTGTATGATAAACAGAATACAGCATCCTGCATTATCATACAAAAAGGATTACATGAGTCATCCATGGCTACAAGTAACCATTCTTACGAGGATAGACTCAGAACTCTGAAACTTCCAACATTGGTCTACAGGAGAATTAGGGGAGACCTAATCAACACGTATAAATACATGCATGGTCTGTTTGATACACAGAACCCGTTCCAACAAAAAACAGAATCAAGGACAAGAGGTCATAGCTTGAGAATAGCAAGGAAGACCTTCAAGGGGAATACAAGAGCATTATTCTTTACAAGCAGAATGGCCAATTGGTGGAACAGTCTTCCTGAAGAAGTGGTCTCTGCACCCTTGGTAAATGCCTTCAAGAACAGACTTGACAAATATATGGAGAGTCATCCAATTATGTACAATCACACGGCCCTGGATTGCCCGCATAGGCCGGGAATGACAGTCCGGTAGAGCAACGAGCAGCCTAAACTGGACGGATACCTACCTGGCTGAAAGAATCTACTACTACTATCTACTATCATTCATTGGGGTTTGACTCTGAATAATTTATACCTACTGAAGCTGTTGTCAACAAAATTAGGATGTTTAAACTAAACTTAAAACTTTTGATCCAACACAAAGAATTTCTCTCACCTAGGCTAGAGCTTTCAACCAGTCACTCTGGATCTGTACTTCTCAGTTATAGGTGAGAAACCTACTTTGTGTTAGATCAAAAGTTTTAACTTTAAACTGGAAACTACCAACGCGGATGAACTTTCATAATAAGATTAAGAAATAGGATGGCCTAATCTAATCATGCATACAAGTGAGAGTGAGTGTGTCAACAAGGAGGTTAAACCTTTGTTGTTTCCCACTTCTGTACTCAGGACTTGAATAAGCCTTATCTAAATTTGCAGCCAGTCTAATACTAGTACTAATAGTACATGTATTTTGTTTTGCAGGATGTCCAGAAACTCCAAGGATGAACCAGTCAAAAAACCTCAAGGTGACGTCAAGAAGGTGAGTAAATGTGGTACTAGTATTGAAATTTGAATGGCCAAGTGACTGGTCAAGCATATCTACACACGAGATCAAAAAGTTACATGTTTGATAGTCCTTGCATTCCTTGCTGGAATTTGATTGATTTATTGAAATTGCAACAATATGAGCTGTCTTGTCCCACATATAGAAACAAATACAGGACAATACTCATTTTCACTTAAGTCCGAGGAAAGTCATGTAATTAGCAGTAAGTACGTATACCTTTTCCAAGGGCACAAGATCGGTGGCATGTCAGGACTCAAATCTTGGTTCGGAATCGAGACGTGACGTTACGCCACTAGACCCCACAAATTGTTATGTCCTAAGGCATAAGTTTCCCCCATGTCCTTCCCAGGTCAGTAAGAAGCTGTACCAGTTGGAGGAAGTTCTGCAGCTCACCCCATGTAGTCTCATTCCCAGGTTACTAAGTACTGACACATAGTCTTGTTCCCAGGTCAGTAAGAAGCTGTACCAGCTTGTTCCCAGGTCAGTAAGAAGCTGTACCAGCTTGTTCCCAGGTTACTAAGTACTGACATGTAGTCTTGTTCCCAGGTCAGTAAGAAGCTGTACCAGCTTGTTCCCAGGTTACTAAGCACTGACATATAGTCTTGTTCCCAGGTCAGTAAGAAGCTGTACCAGTTGGAGGAGGTTCTGCAGTTGACCCCCGGCAGGTTTGAGTGTGCTATCCCAGAAGCACCTCTGATCCCCAAGTTCTGTGAGGTGAGTCTGAAAATCTTGTCAAAATCAGTATCACTGGGTGCATTGAGTTTGTAGTATTGTGCATTTTGTCCTGCTGCCATGTTGTTGTTATTAATATTATGCATGTTTAGTATCTTTTACAATATTTGACATGGCATGAATCAGCTAATTAGGTTGGGTGTTGATGCAGGACAGACATATAGTTTCTTAGCCACACTGTAGTACTACAATGTACATGTATCATCTTCTAAGTTCTAGCAACCAAGCCTTATTTTGTTTTGTTTCTTATAATATTTCATTGATAAGTCTAAGCTAGTAAATGTTAGGAATGGTAGAATTCTTGAGTTTATGCTAGGAGGTGTACATGTTGAAAGTTTCCCCTGCAGCAAGTGGGGATGTACATGGGCGCCATGCTCAACAGCTACGGAGGCATCGTGAGGTGGGGAGTCAGCCGCACTGGTGAGTTCTATAATTTATAACTACACACACACACATATCACAAACACACACCAACCTAGCCACCTACACACAAGTCAAACTCACACACTCTGATGCATACACGCACACAAGCACACCCTTGAACACGCACACACTCACACACACACACATGCACATACACATACAATCTTACCTGCACTACACACATATTTTACTGACACATACAGGTAGGATTTCGAGAAGTGTTGGTTTCAGTAACTTTCACTGTAAAAAGATATTCTGA